AATTGTTAATTAGATATTATTAGAATTTGAAACTTTGTTTTGTAGTCTAATAGTAATATAATTTGTATTTGAGCACCAACAAGACTGTCAAAGAATAATATATATATATATATATATATTTTAAGTTATAAAATTTATATTTTGTTTATTTAAATAAATATTATAAAATTAGTTTTTTTGAATTAATTTGAAAATATCTAATAAATCGTATAATTATTGTGTTTTAATATATTTTCTATTATTTATAAATTATTTAATTTATTTCAAATTAATTCGAATTACCCCGAAATTTCAAATAGTATCTGATAAATTTGATTTGATTAGCTTTTCTTTTTCATTAGTAGCTATTTTTTAGTTTATAAACATTTTGCTGTTTTGATGCATTTACGTCTATTCAAATTGTTTTGAACTAATTCAAAATATTGTATAATATATAGCGTAATATTGCACTATTAGTTTTGTAATTTTGCATAATATATTTTGTAATATTACGTTATATATTGCGCAATATTTCGCAACTTTTTGCACAATATTATGTCCAAACTATAATTATTGCACAATATTTTGGGGCATAATAACTTATATAAGATTACGTTAATATATTTCGCTAATGTATATTCATATATAGGCATGGCAATTTCAAGAACAGAAGCCAAAGATTTATCTTGTTTGTTTAAATTTCTTGCTGGAAATTACCCAAGAAGTGAGTTGGCAATATGAAAACTCCTGAAAAGCAAAAGTGGCGACATGCAGGTGCTCCCATAGTCGAGAATAAAGCCAAAAGTTTGGTTAAATATCTTTCAAAATTATTACAATTACTTGGTTTTTTAAATGATTATTCTGTATGTTAAAAACATTACAACAATATAATTAATAAAAACTTTTTTTTTGAGCAAATAAAAAAAGTTGATGATACTGTTTTTTATATTCCAATAAAGAAAACTAAAAAAAAGGTTTTGTCTGATAATGAAATAAATTTTCATGATTTTGGAATTTGAATATCATTACCTAAATATTTTTGTAATTTTGAAATTCAAGTGTTATTACTGAATCCTGAATATAAAAGTAAATATGAAAGTCTTATTAAAAAAATAATGAATTAGAACATTTAAATTAACAATTACTACTTGAAAATAATTTGTTAAAAAAAAAAATTAAATAATAAATACAATAACCAACAAGAGCATATTAAAACTGTTGTAGAAATTGCCAAACGAGAATGAATTGCCTTGTATGATGATGTCATTAAACTAATAAATAACTGTGAGTAATTTTGTTTAAATAGTCTTTTAAATTATTTCTATTCCAATAGCTTATGATGCGTAATCCAGTTGTAGTAGAATTTATAAAAACTCTTACGCATAATGAAAATAAAGACTATTATGAAGGAGAAAAACTTTTTAAATGTGCCGTAGCAATAGATAATATATATAGAAGAAGATATTTAAAATATATGTCTTCGATTAATTTAGCACTATTGGCAATAAAATACTCTATAGCAAAATCTAAAATGATAGTTGACATCAATAGCCATATTATAAATGCTAGTAGTTTTACCAAATTTATTAATTGACAAGAAACTTTAGTAGGTAATTCGGAACCATTCCCAAATAGAATAGTATTTATAGCATTTAATAACAAACAAAAGGGCCAGAAAAATTATTTAGATCGTGGATATAATAAAGTGATCTTTCATATGGTCACTAGTTTTGTTTTATTTAACTTCGATCCCACTAATCAAATACAAAAATTCAAAAACCCTTGGCTATATCAAAATCTTAATATATCACAAATCGAAGAATTATTTGGCCTTACCCCAGAAATGCAAGTATTGCTTGATCGTCAGCTTCATGATTATCTTTTGTCTATTATAACTGAATTATATATAGAAAAAAATAAAAAAATAAATGTTATTGACGATTTAATAACTAATCAAAGATTAAAACAAAAAATCAAAAAGAATACTGTGAATGTGGTAAAAAAGATATTGAAAACTCTAAGCGTAAATGTCCTCAATATCACACAAAACTTTCTACACTTGCTGAAACTTAACAAAAAAAAAGAGCAACCCATATCCGATAAGAAGGAAAAGGATTTAATTAAGCCATTAACTTTTAAACTTTATCAATCTAATGCAAGTAAATCGGATAAATCAGAAAACTTTACAAGTTCAATAAGTATCACACAAAATTTAGAACCTCAAGACAATGTTAAAATACCTGATGTTCTTGTACCTGATCCTTTACCGATTAATCCAAATTCCATTGATAATGTTCGCAAAGTTTTCGATCATATTCAAAATATTAGTGAAGTTAATAATAGTAATTGAAGATGGATTGTAGTAGTTTGTAATGAACTTCCTTACCATTATGCACAAAAATTTAAATCTGAATATTCAAGAATTATTTTGTTGTCTGGTCTACTTCATAAAGAAATGAATATGTTAAAAGCTTTTGTGGAATTGAATTAGTAATAAAAAAAGAAGAACTATATTAGTTAAAAAATTTATTATCTCACTTAATAATTAATTATTAAATTACTGACCAATATAACTGATTTCATTATATCACTACGCAAATATAGGAACATTGATTTATGAGATTTTGCACAATGCCAAGAATATAGAACTGAAAATCAGTTAGAAAATATACTGATCACTATAAAGCATGGGATTCGGTATGCAATATTTACCGGCATGCAATAACAACAGAATTGGTTTGGCTATACATTACTTCAGTCTCTAATCCATCTGTTAATGGTTTTCTTGATTAGGCTAGAAATCAAAAAAATGAACTGTATAAATTAAAATATGAACAGGTATTTAGTAATAAATGTTTAAATTATGTAAATTCCAATTACTAATATTAAATTATACTTAGATCTTTTGGTACTTACAAGCAATTATAAACTTTTGTACTGGTGTTAGATATAATCAACCTCTGCTTAAATTGGCAGCATGTAGAATGTTTACTCCTATCTGGTCTGCAAGATGACATCCTATTTACCAAGCAATTGAAGTAGCTGATGAGGAACAATTAATGCATTTTTGTTCTGAAATTCGTCAAATTATTAAAAGTAATTCTGCTGTAGCACAATCAGGAAAGTCAAATCAATATCAGGGATTAGATACTATACTTGAAGAGGTAAATAAAACATTAAAAACGCTGATTCTACCTATACTAGCTTAAAAGCATTGGGAAATGGCTACAAGGAATTGTATAAAATTTATAAAGGTAAGAATAAATATAAAAATAAATATAAAAATATACAGTATAATATTATTATTTAATATATTTAAATTTCTTTCTAATAAATATTATCTTAATAGCTACGAAAAAAATTGTTCACTACAATGGGATATGCAGATTCTGAAAGTTCAGATCCATGAAACTGTCCAGATTATCACAAAGGTTTTGAATTTAGTTAAGAAAAATGGGGTTTCTAAATCCAAATTCAAATCTAAATAATAGTTTTAACAGTTTGGATAAGAATAATAAATTAAGTATACAAATGAAATCTTTTAGTGTTAAAGCCCAAGCTTAATGTATAAACTATATTAAAGGAAAGTTTGGCTTAATTAGTCCTGGACCTACTCGATCCATTCCTGTTACTTTTAATAAAGCACAATTGCAATCAGCTAAAAGTTCATTAAAGAAAGATGAAATAGTATTCGCAATCGAAACATTAGTCGAATCCTTAAATGAAGCCAAAAGACTACAATTTAGAGGACTAAAATCAAGAAGAAAAGAAGAATTAATTGCAACAAGTTCGAGATTTTAAGAATGCAACTGATGTTGAAAAAACAACATAAAAAAGTCGCTAAAAAATACTCGAAAAATTTGAAAAAAAGGTAGTTATTTAAGTAGTTATAAATAAGTAAGCTTTTCAAACATAAAATTAATAAAGCTACAAAAAAAAAAAAAAAAATTGGTATATTATACTTATTTGCTGTATAGTTAATATTTCTGAATGCACAGTATAGGTGCATATAGCATTTTTTGATCCAGTATATAAAAGTTCTACAGTAAAACCTCTATAAATGCACTCTTTATAAGTGCACACACTCTCCGAATGCACACTTAAATTCTGTCTCAAATATATATATGCCTTTATAAATGCACTTTTTCTAAGTGCTGAAGTGCACGTTGTTAAAGCTTGGTCCCAATAGTGTACACTTATCCCTTAATATGTAGACCAACACAGGCAAATTTGCCTGCGTTTTTGCACTTTTTTAGCTCTGATTTACTTTT